GCAAAATGACGACGACTGACTTTAGCACGCTTCTTCGTCTGGGGATCGGTCAATTCATGTGGGACTCACTTCGACTTATTCCTGACCTTACCCACTTCATGTACAGTGTTGGCTATAGTTATGAAGCAACAATCGAACTTTTCGTCTAACATATCCAGCTTGTCATTAAGTGATTCTCTACGGCCATCTCACGGCCAGCTTGAATATCAGCTTCCTGTAAGCGTTCTGAGAGCGACTAATAATCCAGGTTATTCCCTGTTCTTCAGTTTTTCTCCAGAACTTTTTTCAGATTCTTCAGAAATTGTTCTCTCCAGCCTTGAACTTGGAAAATCACCTCCTAACTGTCATTTTTGCAATCTTATGGTCACTCCAAGCATCGGTTATGTTGCGCGTTGCTTCATTAATATTTTTCCCTACGCGTCATTCGTATATAAGTAGCAGGCCAAATTGACTTCCAGGGCAGCCCATCTATCTTCAGGAAAGAGTGGCCATGATGTATACCAAAGTATTCACAACAAATGCGTATGTGATTGAAACCAAAGTCATGACGCCTTTAAATTTTCAATATTTGAGCTATTAAATATTTTTTAAGCTCAAGAGAAACTTAAGAAACTGCTCTAGACTTGCGAAGTCCAAAATTCTTTTGGTTGTTACAACACAATAAAAAATTTTTTTCAAAAAAACTTAATTCATCATTGTAACCCTTGAAATTTGATCCACCGACTGATTACTGGAAATATAAAAAAATAACCTTGTTCATCGGGAAATGTATGGATGAGAATCAAAGTTTTTTTTGTTGCTTCAGCATAAAAATGTAGCCATCATGAAAGTATAATAACCATTCGAATTCTTTAGATTTATGTTATCGACGACTACTAAAACCTTAAGAAAGCATAAAAACTGCGTATCTTCTGAAGGGTGGAAACAGGGCACGGATTCTGGAAAAGTGCCATTTCCCTCATCGTTTTAAAGTGTTATGCTCTCACAGAATAGTAGTAATTCTTGCGTAGTACATGTATCATCATATAATTGACCCCATCGTCACTTCCTTCCAATGCCAGCAGTAGTTGCAGAGGTCATCCGCTGGCATGCATGGTCGATATTTATGATCTCAACGATGAAAGATCTGGCTCGTTTCGGACGGTCAGAGAAGAAAGTTCGAACGCGACAACGGCTTAGATTTGTGGGAAAATTCAGGCATAGATAGAGAGTGTTCTATGACTCCTCATCAATTCTTGATTACTCGTCCAATATAATTTCGAGCTACGCAGATGCGCAACCAGTCAGCCGCTGAGTTGTTTTTGAAGGAGTTGACAAGCACGTTTTTTTAGCATTCAAAGAGTACTTGGTTGGAAAGAAAGTATTCATCGTTTGATAAAACATTCAAAATTTATGCGTATATTCAGGTAACAAACAACAACAACTATTCTTTAGAATACAAGTCATCATTATCCACCAATCTTTGCCATCGGTCCGCCAGGTTTCAGATCTGATCAAGGTACCATTCCTTCGGTTTTGAATCAAAGAACTCTTGACATGCTTCTTCAATTTTATCAAAAGATTTAAATCGGAGGCCTTCTCAAAAAATTTTACATTGATCGGAAAAGGCCGTAATCAGATGGAGCAACATCCGCACTATAGGATGAATGCGGTAGTAATTCAACTCCTTCCACTCCCTCAAATTATGGCTTGGTCTTTTTGGCTGTGTGTTGTTTTGCGTTGTCTTGTAAAAACAAAACGCTCTTTCGACAAACAAGTTCTGGGTACTTCTCTGTCAACTTGTCGTATATTATGAAAATCACACACGATTCGTGCGAAAAAACAACAAACCCATCCAAGCGATAGAAATTTTCTTTCCATCCTAGTAAATTTTTTTTCTGGAAAATAGAACAATTTTTTAGTTATTCATTTATTTCCCAGTCTTCAAAGACTTTATTTTCTGTACTATTTCCGTTTCTCCTCTGTTTTTTTTTAGGTACGTTTGCATTCTTAGATAATCCGGTATGAGGACCTTCGGCAGAAACTGTATTTGCCGTCGCCGAAGGCAGCGAGGAGCGAAATAAATTTTACAGGATGGACAGAATTACATGAAGAGTGCAGTTAGATTCTATTTTCTAGTATTCATCTGTTGCTAACTGCGTTAGTTTACTAATTCAAGATGACGTGGGCCAGGGTGCGTAAGTGAGCATGGGAGTCCGTCATCACATGGTGGTGATATACTCTGACTTTCTCGACAAAAAGTTTTTTCGTCGTAAGTGGTTACTCTGTAGGTATGACACTCCAACTAAAAAAGCAATGCAAAAAAAATTCATTTTTATCCCTTGATTTATTCTACAGTGATAATTCTTTTAATAAAACGAATTATACCGCTCGACATTACACGTTGGAGTCGTAGATTCACTCTCAACTTCTGCTAACGTTTTCGAATTATCATCTCGACATGATTAGTTAAGATCTGGTTCACGCTTCACCAGTCATCGTCATGAGTTTGAAATTTTTTTCCACCACCAAGGTTCAATCGCGCTATGCCTCTGATTTCATGAAGGAGTTACTGAGACTACAAACAGAGTTTGGCCTTTCAATATTATGACATAGTATTGGAAAAAAAACCATTATGAAGGTGCATCCTCTGGCCGTTTGACCCTTCAAGAACCCACCCTAGGCGAGTCTAACAGGCAAGAACTTTCACCCCCCGCTTGAGAACGGCTCCACTTTCCTTTGCGGCTTCAACGGCATGGCAACCACTGTTTTACTCACCACTCTCTGCCACTTGGCACCCGTCCATTGGGGAGAAGGCTGCCGGTTCGATCTCCTACAACAACACTACGCTGTGGATTTCTTGGGCTTATCTTTTTGTTTAGACTGCAATATGCCCAAGTCAGTGACACGCTAAATTTCACCATATCTCATATAGCGATACCGTAACGCAAGCGATTGATGTATATAATTTATCACCATTTGTAATGTTATATGCAACTATATTATGTTATAATAAGTCAACATCAGAAGTTGCAAATAACAAGTTGCAGATTGTTGATACTTATTGCTATAAGTTGTAAAATGTTGAATGAATGGTAATAAAGTATATGTGTACTTAGCAAGCTGTTCTAAAGTTGAATGTATAATGAATTGCGCATATTTCTTATTACCAAAAGTCAGTTTTACGCCAGCGAATTTTGCTTGGATAGTAATGAAAGCTTTGAGAATCATAGACTACAATATAGAATTTTTACAGGAGGAAAGCTCACAGTCTGGTTATGCCATGGTCATTCTGCGAAGGGTACTGCGAATCTTTCAAGGAACATCTGTGGTTCAGAGCTGGATCTCTAGTGAACGTAAGTCTCCTTATTTTAAATTCAAAATTAGATTACCTTTCGCCCTGATCTTGATTCATGAACAGCGGGATCATATGTCATAATGTGTGGATATCTTCACGAAATGTAACTTGAGCCGATTAGTGGCGAAGTTTCGAGACGCGCTTTCAGGTGCAGATAGTGCGTACAACTATCGGAAGCAATCCATCCAATTTAGTGCTTTATCGCATCTTGTGTACAGATCATTTTCATGTTGCCTTTGCCGAAACCTCTGGTTACAATCCAATAACTACGCGGGTTCTTTCATTTGAGACGACTTTCAATTGAAAAAAAAATCATGCCGTGTTGAGGACCTTCACGACACGACCGGCCAATGTAGCCAACCTGCTACAAGAGCACATTGGACTACTTTTTGTATAACATTAGCTTTTAAATAACAAAACTATTGCTTTTTGTGCACCACATACGATTGAAACACATGGTGACCATGAAGGGTGACAAGATCTTGCGGATAATTTAGTCGTCTTCACTCCACTCATTATATGAGATGTTTTTCGCACTCAATGTCAAATTTTCTGTGACTGACTTCCTTTTAACTTCGAAATTGATTAGTGGCTTAAAACTTTCTTGAGGAGCAGACATAAGGTTGTTATTATACGATTTGTTTACTCAGTATTAATGACATTGCGGTGCATTTCGCGCTCTTTAAATCCTGAAGAGGTCAAGTTGATCGCAGTCTAGGTGGCGAAGTAATTCTACAACCTCAGCAGTAAACGCGACGCCAAAATCTTAATTGCAGTAGAAACGACATTTCGAAATATTCACCGTTTTCTGTAATTCTTCCTCTTATCCATATGGTTATCGAATCAATCGCATAAGTCTTTTGTAGGTGAAGAATGTGTTTGGCGCATGTCAAAAATTCGTCCTCAAGTAGTAGTCACGCGTGATCAAAAGCACTTCTTGCTACGGTTCGCTATCGGATTTCTCAAATTCATACAAAACGGTTCATCGAATCTGTGCACTGTTAATCAAAATTACTATGCGAATTTAGAGATTTATGTTCCAGATTATTCCGTTATGCCTTCATTTCATACTCTTCTAGTGGAGTGTTCTGTGTGGCTTAGTTTCCCACCAAGATGCTATCTTGTCTGATAGAATATTTTAAGCTATTCGAGAGTTCTGGTATGGGATCTAGAGACGTCGACATACGATCCGGCGTTTTCGCACGCCTAATCAGCACTACACTTTCGATTCACCATTCCCTTAGTACTAATCGTAATGGCACCGAAGCTTTTTCACTCCACGTCAACTGAAAAGATCAATTTAGGTTGCGGTCTAGAGTGAATTCTCAGTCGATGGTTATGGCTGGTATTTTTTTTCTATTCCCAGCACTACTATTGCTGTGATACCATAAGGTTGATTTGCTGAAGTATAAGGTGCTGAAATGTGACCTCATGAAGACCCATGTTTGGAAGTAGCAGGACTAATTGCCTTCGTCAACTTTTGGGCGTTTTCGAATGAAAGCGCAGTGGGACTGCTACCGGAGCACCAGTGGATCATTAGTAGGCCAATGGTACGTTTTAAAGATGTTTTACTCTGAAAGGAAAATGAAATGTACATTTATTAGAAGAGCGCAATTTATACTTCTATTAGATCTCTAGGAGAATTGAGTGGTGAGCAAAATACGACCTTAGACAAAAGTCGAACCCGCGTTTCATCCTTGCCGGGGAATCGTGCTACCACTACACCACCGAGGTACATTTGCGCCACTACTCATTCTTCAGCATCTCTACGTTAGCTACCAGCTTCCAACCTTTAACAGGTTTGGTCGGGTATGCTTTTCGCTTTGTAAACCCAGTTGACCTGACAGCCACTGTAATATTTAACATATCATGAGTATAAGTGCTGCTGCATTACTATTATTTTATTAGTATTATTATTTTTAGTAGTATTATTTTATTAATATTACTATTATTTTATGAGTAGTATTATTTTAAGTATTGTTATTTCACAAGTATTGATATTATTTTATGAGCATTACTTTAATCAGAAAATTCAAGACTGAATCACTGATGAAACTGTTGACTGTCTTTTGGAATAAAAAGAGGGAAATTTCCCAGGGATTGATTGGGACAAGAGCGGTTTGTTAGGGAATTAGTTGAGCTTCCGTTCTATACATACAATATTAATAAATTCTTAGCTTCGTGCTATTCCTACAACGTTTTATTACTTGGTTTATGTTCTAAATCGAATGGAAATCTTAGTGCAAACACCAACTCAACGTACTCGTTAGAAAAATTAGTACGCCATTAACCTGTCTATGTAGAATAAGCTTTCGTGTGCTGTTCAAACAATGTGAATATCAAGCAAACCTCAGATCGGAAAATCAAATTCGGAAAATACGCCATAAAAGGTGTGATAGCCATGCGCTTTCTTTTCCCATCGATTTTCGAATCTTGTGAATGTGTCTGAGATTGTCAAAGTTTACGAGCTAATGCTTTTGATTCTTGCTGTAGCTTGCCTGTCGTTACTATGTGCATTTAGTAAAGTAGCTCTTTGAGTTTTTGAATTTCCACCTAAGCTTTTTATGATAAGATGGGGTGGAATATCTGTTTAGCGAATGTATTCACTACCTCATCTTTTGCAGGTTATCAGGTTCAATGTGCATGAACTCATGTAGTCCTCTCCTCTTGTGTGACTGTAGATAATGTAATACTCTCGTCTACACAGTCAATAGTATGGGTTTTTTGATTCAACGAGCAAAGCAAGGCACTAAGTAAAAGTACTCTTCGTTCTTCAAAATCTCCTTCTTCTTTACAGTACTTATAATCATTTGATCAATAGCGACCTAATATGATAAATCATCAAGCTCAGACGAGAACTTCCGATTTCGCCTTATGCAACCATGTGATCACCATCGCTCAATTGTCGTCCATTCTAAGCAGAACCCTGGTTTGACGCTGCTGTCATTCTTCACGAATCCTCGTAACGACGAGTCTCTAAGGCATTTGAGTAGTGCTATTCTATCCTGCTCTATCATCACCATTTTTATTCCGTTCCTATGACACTGTTGTTCTCAACCTCCTACAGTTTTCATTCAACTTTTTTACCGATTGTCTCATCAACTGTTTGAGCAGCAAAACTTATTTCTTCTTGGTAGTGCACAAATAATCACAGTGCGTGGTCAGTATGCCCTGAGGAGCTCATACTGCGACTCAGCGTTTAAAATCGTCTTCGGACCTTTCCGCGAAAAATAGCTGGGATTTTTTGTTTCCACGATGGGACAATCATTGTTAAAATTACATTTTTTCCCTCGCTTATCGGTGACATTATCAAAGCTAGTTCAGTGTAATCCTTTACTATCTTAGATTCTTAGACCACCTTTGATCTTCTGATATCTATTGTTGGGATAGTAGGAGTTGTGACTCTGGTAGATAGTGCCTTTTCTTATGTGTTTTTAGCGAATGAGTTGTACCATGCGGCTCAACTTTTTGCACCCTGAATTCTGCTGTTTCATTTCTAATAGTGGCACTTCTCTTGAGATGTTGTGCTTGCAACTATCTTGTTCGTAGCTGGCAGATATCATTAGTGAGCACTAAGTGTGAAGTAGGAGAAGTTTGGGATTGTACCAGTACATGTTTTCCCAGTTAAAGCGGTTGTGTTCACTGGATCCATAATATCTAGGACGGCTGAGTTAAGTAGTAAGTTGTGTTAGTCCTGCCTTGCAGTTCTGTCCAAGGCGACGAAATTTGGAAATATTGTGTATAGGATTCAAAACCAAATTGTCATTATCTTGTTGTTTGTTTTTTTTTCTATTGACCGCTTTATTTTCTTCCTCAACCATATTGATGATTTTGAGTTCCTCAGGGCACACTGATCAGGTTTTTTGGTTGTTTGAGCTATTATTATTGAAAAATGGCCAATCGATTCAAAGAATGGATGGGACAGTCGAGTAAATTGTTTGAATGGTAACTGTAAAAATTATGGCGTAACATTGTCATTGCAAGGAAGTGTAAGTGACACAAATAGTGTAAAATGGAATGGTACTAAATGAACACCTTAGCGGCCTGTCGTCACGAGAATTCGTGGAGAACGACAGCGGCATCAAATACCCTCACTTAGAAAGGACGTTAACCGATCGCACTGTAGCAGGGAGTTGGTCGAAAAGGCCAATTAATAAGTGATGGTGATCAATTAGATAAAAGGTCTATCTGAAAAGAACTACGAAGGAGAAAGAATTTATAATCACAAGATCACTAAGGAAGAATTGTTGCCTTACATGTAATAAAACATTTAAATGCTAATAATGATTTCTGGGACAACGCTTGGGGGGTTCCGAGGGTTCCAGCGTACAATTTGGTCGAGAAGAAATTGCTGTATAAGTATTCATTTATTCGAGGAGACGGTGCGTCAAGGTCGAGCGCTAAGGAACTCATTAGGTGTTCAGAAATTGGCGGAGTACGCGCTAATGAAATGACGAAGAATTTACTGAAAAGGAATGTAAGGTGCACATGGAATGCAGATCGCGCCTCAGTGTGTTTTGTAGCGAGCGAAATTCCTTTTTCATAGAACAAAATACTGTGACAACTCACACGACAAAAAAGTTAGTGGCATCATTTGCACTCTATTGGGAATGAAGATGGTACTGATTTGCTTTCAGAAATCAAGGGATCCGGTACAGTATTAACATGGTACGCCACCTTGCTAACCAATCATTTATTGTTAAAACTGAAGTGAATGGTAGTAGGGGTGGCATGGATCTCTTTGCTTTACGCAGATTTTTCAGGCAGGGAGCTATTGATCCTACTGCAGATGAGAGGAGGCAACTAATGGAACCCCTTCAAAAGCACGTAACTCAAGACAAAGTCCATCTTCAAGTGTGGGACATCGAGAACAACATCCCACAGCGTCAAAGAAAAAAGTATGAACTAGCCCACAAGGCAAACGTCCATCGACTATGGTTACATTGTGCATACTCGAAAAAAAATATTTACCAAAAACTACACCAAATTTGGTGCATGTTCCTACTGAAACGAGACTGAGTAGGACATCCCTCACCTTAGTGTTAGAAAACGGTCAAGTTAACCATTCTAAACTGACGTACTCACCTATCGAGTATTACTCCCAAATACGATATTCTCTATATCCTGTAGATGCTACTTGGTAGTACGACACCTTCATTTGTGGTGCATCGCCCTAACAAAAAACTCAGGTTAGCGAATCTATTCATTCTAATACTCAATCATAATCCCAAATTTCTGGAATAAAATTCAGGTAAGCTTACGCATGGATAATACGGCTGCAACGAATGCAAAGTCGTCGAAACGTCAGTAAATGAATGTGAAGGAGACAACGGTCTTGTGCCATTTGTGACTAAAGATTAGTTCGTGAGAATTTTTCCATTTACCACAGACTTAATCTCAAACCTTCGAGAGCACAAGTCGCGGCATCCTCGAAACCAGATGTGATTATTAGGGAAGCCTATATAGTGCGCGAAAAGACATAATGAATATCACGTTTCACATTTGAAGTTTTCTTGGGAAAGAAGAGTTATATACGCAAAGAAAATATATGAGCGTGTAAAGAAAGGTATCCACTATTAGAGTAAATCAGAAAACCAAAAAATTATCTGCAACAGAACAGAATAATAAATAACAAAAATGCTTTCAACATGGGACTCTCAATCAGCATCCGTCCGCTAATGCTCAGGCAACCAAAATCTTTGAGATGAAAACCTTACAACCAGAACGCAATAGCAATATAATTGCATTGCATCAGAAGTCATCAGCTCAATGAATCGCCTATTTGTAAGACTTAATAAGTAAAAAATATTTGAAAGTCAAAAATTACGGTATTGTCGATCACTTCAACTCCCAAAAGTGTTGATCGAGTAGAGCCACGTTGTGACTACTTTAACAGTAGAGTTGAGTAAAATCCGAAAGACGTAACAAAGCTTTTGAGAAGCTTATTGGAAGAAGAGTGAAGAAACAAGTGCAAATTCACCACAAATTCTTATTGCCAAAGCTAATTTGCTATAACATTTATTACATCATTACAATCAGGTGGTAGCCGCGATCATGGTAGTTCGAGTTTAACACACATGTACGGCGTGAAGCAGTGGTGAATACATGTCAGATCATAGGTGGAACTTGGATTCAGTAAGAAGCCGTATACAAGTAGTGGAATATGATGAAAATGCAAGTGCTAATGTTTTTCTCGCTGAAACGTCCTGAAACTGATTTCTAATGTTATGTTAATAATTTCACCATCAACATAACCAAATAAGATTCACGCCAAATTGCACAGTAGAGTGACTAAAAAGTCCCCATTCTTGAAAGTGACTAGAAATCTCTGAAAAGTATAGGGCACTCAAAGAACCAATTGCTTGCATGCTTAGAACCAGTGCAAAAAGATTTTTAATAGACCTTGCCTACAGGTCCAAAATTCTGAAGCACCTCGAATATCTCGTTTTTTCTATGGATACATTTTGTAGCAGTTATTTCTGAGAAAAACTGCTATTTTCCTCTCTCTTCTGCGCTTATTCTTATCGCATATCGTCAAATAATCAATAATCTAATTATATACAATTAAAAAGGTTAGGCAGTGAGTCATAGCGACGTTCAGCGACTAGGGCCGGCGGATGGAGAGTTTTTGTATTGTAGCTGGCGCTTCGAGCGGTTTTCAGACGGAGGACGGACGGAAAAACTCTCGAGCGACTGTAAAAGGGCACGTCTCCGACGGCACTTTATTCTCCTCA